TCTCAACATGCTGATCACAAAAGTAATCGGGTTTCAGATGGGATTTCGCGCAACTTTCGACTTAAGACCGTAGTATTAGCCTTATTCCTCGGAAAAAAAAAACAGGAGAATGGGGGTATAGTAGGGTTAATATTTTGGCAACATGCCTTTCTCGAAACAACAGCAGAAGTGAATTCACTCCTCCTGGTTTTTCCGAGGAGCAAGGCTAATTCTACCGTCTCATCTGTGTGACCAATGTTCCCCGCTAATGCACTGAGCAACTAACTTTCGACTTATAAAACGCGCAACGTGCCAGCTTAATGCTGCGAGACGTCGTTGTGGGAGTCCTCTCAACAGCTGATCCCGAAAACTGTGTTTTTTTGGGGGGGAGGGGGGTTTGCATAACTTCCATGTTACAGGACGTGCAACGTGCCAGTTTGGTACTGCGAAACGTCTCGATCGCTTCCAAATTTGGTGTGCAGAGCGTTCTCAACACACTGGTTCTAAGAGTCATGAGCGGGGTAATCAAAAATGAAGTCCACACTTAAAGTGTCTGTAGAGTTTCAGAATTTTGAAACTTAAAAAGATTGTCCGATTTCATTTTAAAAACTGGTGTGACGGGTATAGATACCTTACATTTTGGGGGGCAGCCTATATCGTGTTGCAAATTAGTATGTTTCTTATCTTATTTGATGATGCTCTTTTTTAAATGACTTAGTTCTGTAAATGAACAAGGTATTGATGGAGCACACCAAAAAATACGATATTTTTGAACTATGACATATACAGTCTCTAAGAAATGGCATTGATAGAAATGACATCAATGTTAATGTCTCAGCCGAACCTGATAAACTCATCGCTCACCAAGTTGCGATTCGTTACCACTCACCATCCGACTACGCTGTCGCCGCCGATCTCAGTGATAGTCAAGCTCAGCTGACATCATTGCGAATTGCGGCGTGTGCACGAAATGCTATGAAACACTGCACTTACCCGCGAGCATTTTCTTGCCTTTGATTTGAGTCTTGTAAAGGAGTGCAGTGAGGAGATTGGTAATCGGGCTATTGGCCAAAGTGAAGCGATATTTTGCTTTTTTCGTCGAAAATATGTGTACATTATTTTTTGACAGGTTTTGGACGATAGCTGGTCCATCCTTGTGGTTTGGATTGGAGTTTGGACAAACAATTTGTGGCTAACGGCACCCCCGGTCAGCACATTTAGCCCCGTTTCACACAAATGCAAAGTGAGCGTGCCCGCTGCCACTGCTTCGGACTCTCATGATATTACTGAAATGTGTCTATGAACATTGAATAGCCGAATGCTCTGGGACTTCAATCAAGCGGAAAATTGGCTTTTGTTCAAGTCGTAATCGTCAAATCTGGGAGGCAACAGCCACGGTCAGGTGGTGGCCGGGGCAGAACTGCCACGGCCGGGCAGGTCAGTTACCCCCGGATGGGTGTCAGTTACCACCGGGCAGGTGTTAGTTACCACCGGGCAGGTGTCAGTTACCCCCGGATGGGTGTCAGCTGCCACCGGATGGGCGTCAGCTACCACCGGGCAGGTGTTAGTTACCACCGGGCAGGTGTCAGTTACCCCCGGATGGGTGTCAGCTGCCACCGGATGGGTGCCAGCTACCACCGGGCAGGTGTCAGTTACCCCCGGATGGGTGTCAGCTGCCACCGGATGGGTGTCAGCTACCACCGGGCAGGTGTTAGTTACCACCGGGCAGGTGTCAGTTACCCCCGGATGGGTGTCAGCTGCCACCGGATGGGTGTCAGCTACCACCGGGCAGGTGTTAGTTACCACCGGGCAGGTGTCAGTTACCCCCGGATGGGTGTCAGCTGCCATCGGATGGGTGTCAGCTACCACCGGGCAGGCGTTAGTCACCACCGGGCAGGTGTCGGTTACCTCCCAGCAGGTGCAATAACCACCGGGTAGGTGTTTGTCACCACCGGGCAGGTGTCAGCCACCACCGGGCAGGTGTCAGTCATAGCCGGGCAGATGTTAGTCACCCCCGGGTGGGTGTTGGTCACCACTAGGTAGGTGTTAGTCACCACCGGGCAGGTACTAGTCACCACCGGGCAGGTGTCAGTCATAACCGGGCAGGTGCAGTCACCACCGGGCAGGTGTTAGTCACCACCGGGTAGGTGTCAGTCAACGGACAGGTGCCACTCACCACCTGGCAGGTTCAGTTACCACCGGGCAGGCGTCAGTCACCACCGGGCAGGTGTCAGTCACCACCGGGCAGATGTGGCCACGGCAGAGGAGGGCGACCGTAAGAGACGGGCAGTTGCAGTCGGGCAGGGGTCGTGCCGTGAATGGGCAGTGGAAGTCACGGACGCGGAGAAGCTACGGCTGGGTGTGGACTGGCGCGAGCTGACGCAAGGGAATGTCAAAATATCCAGAAATGCCGAGACTTGTCCAAAAATTAAGACCGTCAGGCGCGTGTCCAATGTCTGAAACGGTGCGGGATGCGAGAAACCGAATACACCGGTGGCGAGTGCGGCGAGGCAGGTTGTTGCCATTTCCTGGTAACGGACGGGGTCGGCCACAGTCGGCGCCCGGCCCCGCGC